TTAAAGAATAATTATATTACTGCACTTTTTTCATTGAGAGTAAAAATATACATATAATTGTATAAAGCTTCTTATCAGCAGTCTTACATTTAACCAACACTTATATTAAATTCAAACAATATTGTTACCATCACTCCCCGCTCTCGGACCGGAATTAAATATTATTTTGATTTTACAATTGACCATGACCAGCAGGAGAAAACTATGATCTAAGTAGACAAAATACATATAAATATATTGCTTTTAAAGTGAAGTATCACACAAACATACAGCGAATGTGTGCCTTCACCCAGGACCATTTTTTTTCCAACTAGACGAAATACAATATTTTTTTTATTATTATTATTGTTTTTAAAATCTTAAACCAAGTATCACACTAAAGTAAACGAGTGTGTTTTTTCCCTCACGTTCCGCCCCCCGTTCTGCCCGCTGTGCGTTGAGACGCCGACGGAAAGGCGTGCGGGGCGGAGCTGGATCGGATACGGGCGTGGTGACTGGGTGTTCTAAATTGGTTCTATTTGTTTATATATACTGATAAAAAGTTGGATTTAGATATTGATTTTGACACGAAGTAAATTGTTTTAAAGTTCTAGGTTTATTTAGGTTTTCTCATATGATGATCCATTTCCTCTCGTCATGAAAGAGAAATAACCACAGATTTCTCCCACTGAGCCATGTAAACCTTGTCAACTGAGCAAACAAAAAAATCGTAAATACATGTAAAATAAAGAATATATAAACCTTTCTCATCTCCCGGTCGAGGAGCAGTGAGCGAGTGGAAAATCCCTCTCAAGGAGGACTTTGGACTAGAAGCCGGGTATTGCATGAGCCACTGGAGACGGCCACCTGACGCCCCAGACACTAGCTGGGTCACACACTGCCATACACCTCATCAAACAAGTCATGCGACTCTCACACAGATGCGTCATATCTGGACAACCACACGCTCACACTCAACCGCCTCCTTTGATCACGCGGCTGCAAACTGCCATACAAAGTAAACGCAAAAGCCGACGTTGCAAAGAGCACTCTCTTGAGAATTGATGCAACGACGCAACTCTCGCCACAGCCTTCCACGCAGAGCGAGAAAATGCTCAAATATTTAGTCACTTCACACTCTTTCTTCCTTTCACACAAATATTACTATAAGTTGGTTAACTTAAAAAAGTTGTACGATATACAATGAGATCATTAAGTTTATAAACCATGATTCAGTACAAGCAGAGGCTCGCCGTCAGCGCCCTTGGGAACACCGGGGCGCTGCGCGTGACGCCCTGCGCCCTACACCAGCTTACTCTATGTGGGCCTCGGCGGCGCGTCGGAGGGCCGTCCGGGGCGGCCACGGCGGCGGCGGCGGCAGTCACATGACCAGGGCTTCCCGGAGACTCCATTCTCGGTCCCCATCTGAGTCACTCGCTCACATGACAGATCGAATGACACACGACGAGGACGCAGAAGCGAGTCTCTCCGCGAAGCCTCCGCCCGAGAGTCGCTTCGGCGCCGTGGGCTGCAGACCGGAGGCCGCGACGCGCGAGGCCGCTAACACTAGGAGTTATTTCACTACCACCAAGACCTGTGGTTCGGGTCTCCTTTTCCTCCAGCAAATAACCTGATACGTTTTGGCCACTAAATATAACTTAGTCTACTTTCCAGCCATCGAGACTGGGACGTGGCTGCGTCAATGAGCCTGACCACCTTTTGCTCTACACCTTCGTTTTAGTACATCAGTACATCTAGGCCTATAAGCTTCCAATGAGACACACGTTCCTGTTCTCGTAGATACAATATTTGGCTCACTTTCATTTCCGAATTCACTCCAGAATCTAGCTTAAAGTAGTTTCCTCTATTGCAGCAAACAACATTAACGAATAAATCTTTTGATGTTCTACAATACATAATATTAATTTAAATTACAAATAAATACAGTTGACTAGCCTAAAGATGTACTCCCCTCGGCTTGCTGATTGCACTTTGGGTTTTGTCAGTTCGTGGCATATTGATTGCAATATGCAAGAACGTTCTAATGCACAAGAATATTCCAATAACTGAGTGTAATGTTTTACGGGTGTTGGAGGCAACACCAGCGTAAAACTACAGGCCGAAGGGGAGGCATGAAAGACAAACGTTTCCATCTATACACCAAAAAAATCAATAAAAAAATAAAATACATCAGAAGAGACAAACAGCAATTGCAACCAGGGCAACAGACCGCGATATTCCAACAGATCTCTGGTTGTTTTCTGGCCTCCCAGCGCGACAGCCTTCCTCTAGGCGAGCGGCGCCGTGCTTGGGCTGGCCTGGATCCTTTCACCGCTAGTGTAAATGAATCACATTTTACATTACAACTGTCTATAAATATCGCCTGAAGTATAAATTTACGACTCCGTGTATTGAGCCTCGTTTAGAAAGCTATATAAAAAGGCACAGGGGGGGAGAGTAATGCCATGCGAATCACAGGCGCGGAGAGGACATAGACATAGACATAGACAGAGAGAGAGAG